AACATGAACTAAATGCTGTCATGAACATGATTGAGCTTGGCTCTGGATTGTGGTTCCTTCAAATCTAAGTTTCTTAAATTATGTTTTGACCTTACATATGATAGCAATAAAGAGATAAAAAATATATTCATGCAACAGTGGAAATACAATTTATAAATGATTAGATCTTTTTATACTATTTCCTCTGAACACATGAGTAAAGAATATTTAATTTCAAATTCCTTCTAGCATTGACCAAAACATTTGCTTCTTATCAAAGGATCTATTCAATTTTGTTTGTAAGATTTAAAATTTAAATGCCATATCATCCATGTTTGGCTTCATCTTTATCATCTTAGGTTGCTTAGTTTACTTTATTTTATTTTATCCTCTTATGGCAATAAAGACCTTTTTTAAAAAAAAAAAAAAACTGCTGATTGATTCCTTGCATAATATAATTTTAGAATCTCATTTTGCTCTCTTATCACTTTTACAATTGATGATGTAATTTTAGAGTCTCATTTTGCTCTCATTTTGATATTTTAATCATTTGATGTTTTATTTATATTATTATATAGATATATAATTTTTTTAATTTAATTATTACATCACCAGTTGGACCATGCGAACCGTAAAATGCTGGCCTTTCCGGTTCAATGCCTGGTTTGATTCTGAAAACATTAGAGTCAACTTTTTGAATTGTTTGTATTCTATAGTACATCTTATTGGTGTGATTGATATTTTTGAGGTGATCTAATTATGTGTTCAATGGTTTGGATTGGTTCTCATAAGATAAATCCTCCGTAAGAGACAACAAAGAATATTTGCCTCATTTGATCTTTGGATTGTTTTCATTTGATTAAAAAAAAGGGGAAAACTTGGCTAATTTTTCTTTTTAGTTTCTTTAATTGAATAAAACTAATAGATACAGCAAGTGATTATTACTCCTTGGCACCAAACCTCAAGGTGTCTAAGTCACTTGGATGATATTCTGGATTTTATGAGAACAGGTATATGCTCATTGTCCTTGGCTCAAACCAAATTTTTTTGTCTAAGCTGTGGAGGGTTGAACTATCAACACTGATAATATGTGAGTTACCATTTAAAAAATATGAATGAGATTTCCTCCTGGAACCCCTGCAACTATTGCTGTGCTGGAAGAGTTCTTTAAAATCTTGTCAAAACATTCATTGGTGGCAAATGCATTTAGGTGTATAAGGGATGCAGGTTTTTTTTTTTTTTTTTTAATGAAGGGATGTAGATTTAAAAGGCTGCCAATTTCAAAATTCAATATGTGGTTTTGTGCAGTCCTTTGTTGCTGAGTACTTCATGATGTCATTTTGGATGCATTTTAGGCATGCATGTTTGCTCCTTGGGAAGTCTAACATTGACAGATTAGTCTCTTGTATAGTTACATTTTTGCTTGAAGGAACAAGTCTTTCTGGATAATGACTGAAGTTAAAATAAAAAAAAAAACCTGAACTAATTTATCATATGTACTTTGTGTTAGAACCACTGCCACTTTTTGTACACTGAAGGGGATAAATGACCATGTATTTGTCTGCAGTGACTTTAAGCTTGTAATTTTCAAGTTCTTTTCATAAATTTATACTCCTTGTACAGATTAATTAAATATTAACAGCAATGTCTCAGGCTGCTGTAGTTCCTTCTCTGCTCACAGCAATATTATCCATCCTTCTGCAGAACTTGGAGCAAAAACAACCGTGAGTTAAACTATCTACAAACATTTCAAGACAATCTTAATGTGGGAAACATGCTGTCTGATTCTGGCATACAATGTTGATTACGGTGACTTGTTTTAGGCAGGACCACATTGCATGCTGGGCGAAGGGTCACAGATGAGTGATTAATGCAGCGTTAAAGTCTGTTATTGATCTTCACTGCCGGATAAGTGCCAATGTTAAGGTGGGTTGATATATTAATAGTACAAGTTGACTGGAAGTTAGCTTTTCGTTCTTCAATTTATCTCTGACACTTAGATCTTTATGCTCAGCGGTTGATTAGCACGTTGGCTCCTTATTAATGTTCTCTTGTATTGAGTAAGGTTTATGTTTGAATTTATTTGAATTTGCTTATCCTTGTGCGGATTGTTAATTCCATAGTTATGAATTATGTCACTATTGGAGATGGTTGCTCGATCAAAGGTTCTGTTATCTGCCCCATTGTGCAGGTCCAAGAGCTTCCTGTGCTAAAAGATTGTCAAGTAAGTTCTCTCTCTCTCTCTCTCTCTGTTGTGTTTGGAAATTCAATTGGATTTAATGGCGCGTGTTTTCCCAGATTGGAGCAGGTTTTGTGGTCACTGCGAGAAGTGAGTACAAAGGAGAAGCGTTGGCTAGGAAATGGAAATGGCATGTGAAAGTCCGATGGGGAACGTGGCAAATTGAAGTTTGGAGGAAATTTTTGCAGTCGTTGCTGGAACCCTATACAATGGCGTGCTCTTGGCAACAACGGATACATCATTGAAATTTTTGATTTTTTTCCCTTCATTTTTGCTTATTTTATTTTACTTTTTCCCATCCTGACTATCTGCAAGCACTTTTATTGAACCAGAGTTCAGAACAGCTTCAATCAATCAATGTTCAGTATCTCTCAACATAAATGACTGCATATTGACATTGGTTTTATTTTATCCTTGAACTAGCCACAAACTAGTGCACTCCGCGAGTTGGCCAATTCAAAAGACGCAAATACAAGTAATGATAGTATAGATAGATAATTTTAACCACAATATGTTTATATCTAGTCAGAGATTCAACTGAGATTGGATGGTTAGGAACTCAAATGGGTTTGGGTTTGGGTCTGGTTATGTGCGAGCCAAGAGATTGAGCTTGTAAGAGAAGTTAGGAGCTAGCTGTCTTGAAATGAGTTCACAAATGGTTCTGGTTATTGCCCAATATATATGAGTGTTGCCTTATGGAAAATGAAGCTAACAATGTCTGAATTGGTAGGGAAGTCTTGTAAAAAATCTATTCCCGAATCCATGTATATTAAGAGAGCTTGAAGCCGGTACGGTAGTTATAGACAAGTACTGTTGATTGGGCTGATGATCAGTGATCTTAGTCACGGGCTCACGCCTGGCTTGGTTGGTTTGTTTTGTTAGTGAGATTGATGGTCTTCCATCAATTGCGAGCACGAGAGATTGTAGTTGGTATTGTTCTTCTTCCTTTTTTTTTTTTTTTAATATTATTCGCCTGTTGTTGGTGTTCCCCCCATAAAATGAACTTGACCTCCTTCATTGAACCCATACTTCTATGTTCTGGCCATGGCCATTTACTTCACTTTCTATTTTAATATAATCCCCCCGAGTGTCTTTTTTTTTTTTCCTTTCTTACATTCGTGGCAAGACATCACATGTTAACTAGAAATATGTATTAAAATGATGAAACTGATAGACATTTGACATATTAACTGAAATAGTACTATTACTGTCAAACTAATAAAGCCTGATTAAAACCCTTCACACAAGCGTGATATGCCCTATTTGGTATCATTGTTACTTGTACCAAGTGCAATTTCACGAAGCTTGTGATGCGCAGGTGATAATCTTATCACAGCTCTGGTGCCTTATATGTATGGGATACAACTATCATCCAAACAAATTTAGGAACATAAAATCAAAGGGACTCTCTATATCCTAATATTCACTTTGCAAAGCGGACCATCCACTCTGCAGCAATATCATCGTGATTTGCTTTATCTCCCAAGTACAAATGGGCAATGCCAGGGACAACAACATTATTTGCAAAATACTCATAACGACTTGAGACAAAAAAGCATCTCTTGAGTCGAGTCACAACACATAATGTACATCATTATATCAACTTCCAATTCTAGAAAATGAAGACGTTCCATAAATTGGTCAAAATTGATCCAGAAGGGACTAGGAAGACCTACAAGGGTCAAGATTTATCAAAATTAATCTAACTGCAAATAGCACCTCAGTAATCGTTAGTGTAGGACTCCAACCATCCTTCAACATGCCCAAACTAACTTGGCTAGCAGTGTCTATATAGTACCTGGTAAACGCAAGTCTTGCATAGGACTTGCGAGCCAAGATTGCTTGACTGAGAAACAGAGCTAAGCAAACAAACCAGACTTTAGAGACTATTAACAAGTTACCAATCAACATTCAGCAATTCAGACTCAGCCAGCATTACATTACAAAACAAAGCAAAGAAACATAAGCCAGGCAGTAATGGTCCCATTGTATGGGGTCAAAAGGTAAAACTTATGCACCCTAATTCACACTTGTTGTACAGTTTTGCATATATTATATACATATTTGGACTGAGGAGAACGGGGAAGAAAAGAAGGGAAAGGACTTCTTTCTTCTTCTCCTTTTTCCTTCCTTTTTTCTTTGGGAGTTTGAATTAGAATAAACAGTTTTTTTCCATTCCTTGTCATTTTATCTCCTCAATCCAAACATACTCTGAAAGAAGTAACGAAGTCAACGATAATGTCTAGATTGAATTTCTCTTCCCTTCCCTTGACCTTCAATAACCAGCTACTTGATTATTATTATTGTTATTATTTTCATTTTGTGATAAGTGACTGACTAATACTATCGTAGCTTGGAAGGAAACAGATCCCCGAAGATGAAGTGGCATACTTACTCTTCAGTTGAATAACCTCAATCCAAACGTGCATGTTTTTCTCAGATTAAAAAATGACAAATATCCCGGTGAATAATACTTATTCAAAGGTTTTATTAAAGTTAGGAAAATATATATTGTAAGCTTGAACGCATAACGCACGGATGCACAATAGAAGGCGTATCTTCTCCACACACATCCATCCACCTGCCACAAACAAGGCCTCATCAATCATCAACTGATAGTGATAGCAACGCCATGCAATTCGTGATGCATCAAAGTGCTCGTGCCTTGAACTCCGATACAGACCCTATATAAACTCAAGGTTAGACAGGCGGTGGTCACCACCAACCGATTTGCAGTTTAAGCACAATCCAATGCCTGCCCGGAAACAGTTTAGCCACATGATCAGCACAATTTCTAGTAACACAATTTAAGAAAACAAAACAGAAACAATACGAAGCTCATCATCCATAAACAGTAACAAAGTTACGTCACAAGAACACTAACAACATGGTTTATGCCATGATCTTGGCAGACCTAACATAAAGGCTGTCCACAACCTTCCCTATGTTGGAAATGGTTTCTAAGGTTGCAGGATATATGGCGTCACTCTTGGGATCATCAAATATGACGAGGCACCCAGCACCTTGATCCAATGTGCCAGCAAACTTCTTGTCCAAAATCATCTGGGACAACTTCCGCTCCACATTATCAATGGGAAGTTCGATTAACTCAGCAATATGCGCAATCTCGACCCTAGAGAATGGCTCAATTAATCTACAAAGGTTCTGCTCCAGAAGGGTATCATATAGGGATGATAGGTGCCTGTGGACAATTGGGTCTTCCTCCAACTGTGCATTGTAGTCCCGCAAAGCAATTTCAAACAACTTAAGGGAACGTTTAGAATGAGCATCTGCAACAGCTTTCATGGCATCCAAGTCAGGGCCAACATATTGGAGGCCTGCTTTAGAAGATATAATGCCCGTCACATCATCAGCTTGACTCACCATAATCTTACACAACAGCATGTATTTTAGGCTAAAAACAGCCTTGGGGTCTTCAAGAGCATTAAAGGACTCAAAAGCTTCAAAGAAATAACTATACGCAGTTTTATAATCCTTCTCCTCAGCGTGAAGTATCCCACTTTGCAAATCAATGGCACCTTGTTGAGCAGGGGGCACATAAATAGCATTAGCAGCTGTTCTTGCTGCAGTGAGGGCAGCTTTTGCCTTTGGAAGGTTCCTTAAGGAGAAGTGTAGCTTGCTTTCCAGCAAGTCTATGTCCACAAGAAGAAGCTTGTCATCCAATTTTCTAACCTCTTTGACCAAGCCGGTAAGGAGGGTCAAAGCTTCTGCATACTCCTTACTTTCCATAAGAAGTGCTGCAAGCCTTGCCTCAACCCGCTGCCTCAGAAAGGTACGCTTTTCAGCTCGAGTCCACTGCACCATCTCTCTGCAGAGTGTAATTTGTAGATCAGATGTCCCTGGTATTTTTGCCACAGAATCAATTATTCCCCTCACGATTTTTGCAGTTTTTGCCTTAGGGATCAAAGAAAAGAATGGCCTCAGCTGAGTGAGAAGGCTGCGCAGATCTTCTGCCCTGTTCTCTTGCCTAAGAAGATCAGAGAGGTTAGTGATGGCCTGCTCTTTAATGCGCAGAGCTTCTGGAGATGAAGAGGGGTTCTCAAGTGCACGATAAAGAATAGAGATAGCCTCAGATGGGCTTTTGGCCTCCAGTGCCTGTGCAATTGTCTCTGTTGTTGCGGGGAGATGTGAGGAAGACATTTTTACTTCTTCCAAAAACTTCTGAAAAGAACAATTTCATTAATCAAGAGAAATATACAAAACTATACAGCTTTGAATTACTATCGATTTGAGTGGGAAATAATATCTCCCTGCTTTAGCTATGTTTTTTCCACTTAAGCAAAACATGAATGTCTTCACCTTATTGAAATGATTATATAGCATTTGCCAAGACCTCAAGATGTATGGAAAGGAAAAATAATATTTATGAGCGGCCTTTGCCAACAAATATCTCATATGTGACTATCATATGGCTCATAAAAAAAAACGAAAGCCTAAAAGAACTCCCTCATCTAAGATCACCATAGCCTACAATATGAACAGTGTGATCATAAAACATATACGTCTTAAAGAAGATACAAGCAAAGACAACAAAAAAATAAATAATATGCATAAAATTAACATAACTCTAAGGTATAATTGGCTGCAAGTATTATAACTATCTTATGAAACTGAATGCAATGAGAGTTAGAAACTGGACAACGACTCAGTTTTTTTGTGTGCATCTTGTGTTAGAAGCAACATTTCTAAATGATTACCTTCAAGTGAACAAAGTTTGTGACAAGAAAAAGAACACGAGCTTCAAGATTGGGGAAGAACAAAACTCAATGTTATCTTATATCTACTCGGGGGTGTTTTCTGAACTGTCAAACTTCACAAGTTGGTTTTGTGCAGCCAGCCTTCTCTTCTTTGCCACAAGGCTATTCTCATCTTGTTTTTTCCTTCGCTCTTCAAATAACTTCAACCCTCTAATTTACCACTGATTTCTACAATTTTATAGCATAATTGCTTAATCTATTAGTTGCTTTTAGAATCTTTTTTGAACCCTTAAAATAAGAAACACCAGCAGCTTGTTCTATACTGTGGAGCTCACTCTACTAACGAACACCCACCATCCCATGAGTGGATTAAGCATTTTTCAATTGGATATTTTCTTATAGACCATGCTTCATAATGCTTATTAAGGATAATATTTATTTGGTTGCTGAAAATGTTTTGAAAATTGGATACTCCTTGAGCATTTCAGTTTAGAGGAATGCGATGAATTAATCATTACTGTGTACCCATTATTTGGGAGTTTACAATGTTAAAAACCTTTGGAGTTTTAAAGGTCATGTGGGCTAAGATGGGTTGGAACTCATTACACTCATACCCCATTGTTCCAATCCCTTCAAATTGAGGGGCTTCGATTATTTATAATTTTTCATTTCCTCTTTTAACCTAAACCAGTTCTCTTTTCTTCCGTTTTCATCTTCCAATTTGCCTGAACCTATCCGAACCATATCACAATATTGATATTTCACTATGACCTTCCCCTACATGCATATCAAGTCACAGACCGGGATATCTGCTATATAAATTGAATGGCAGAAACAAGTTTTACCACATGTTGAATAGAAAACACAATGAAGAGCAAAGATTATGATTGTTGAGGAGGGATACCAGGAGCCAAACATGCACACACAGAAACAGAAAATTCGAGCAAGATCATTCAAGTGAAAACATTATATTGAACAACACATATGCACAAGAGCAGTCCCAACCATAATAGAAGCCGAGTGTGAGTTTGCGTGTGAGTGAGACTTCGAAGTCCCGGACAATCCCATCCTACCAAAAATGAGCCAAATGATATTCATTCAAGCAAAGTACAAAGCAGGAGCCGAATACCGCACACAAAATAGTAGCCAGATCATTCAAAGAGGGAGGTTTAAGGATTGGGAGTATGTGGTAGTAAAACGCAAAGGAGTGTGGAAGCTTTAGAGATAAATTGACAATTAACTCTTCCTCTTCAACAATAGCGAGAAGCAAACAAAGTGTGGAGAATGGATTCAACGACAGACAACTTTAGAAAAGAGACTAAAGGAGGAGCGTCGATCTAAGTGTGTGAATGTGAGCAAGGCCAAGAGCTGGATGGGAGTTTTAAGTAAATCCAGAATCAACTTCACTAGGCTAGCCTTGTTAGTGAAGATTTTTCCACGAAGCCCTTTCAACTGAGCAACTCCGCATGTTGTCTTTTCATAATCCCCATCCCAATCCTGTCTCGTTAGAAACCAAGTTATCCCATAGCTGCCACTCTTTTTTCATATTATCCCATTTGTTTTTGAATTGCTGCTTCTCAGAATTTTTTTTTCCAGTCTTATCATTGAAGCCACAAATTATATTTTTCCATCCTGCTTTGGTGAGGCTACCACCATTTCTTTGCAATTTCCGCACTTGTTCCAAACATATGTCAAAAAATATTCTAGTACTTCTCAGGTCCCAGGAAGCTTTCGACTAATCATTACTCACTGTGCTATATAAGAATTAATTGTACAATATCACATATAAGCAAGTGAAAATAGTACCAAATTACTTGACATGAATATAAAAAACAATGGTAGCTCTAGATTTTAACTTGAATATATTGATGAATGTAAGACCACAACTTCACAAGTAAGGTAAGCAATGAATATATTGAATAACAGTAGAAGTAATAGAAGCTCCTTCAACTTCCGATACTACCTTGCACAGAAACAGACCAAATTAAAAAAAAGTCATCATTTTCCAATAATACATCTGTCTCTCGTTGCAATCTTGTCAAGCATCAACCTTCCTCGTGGTTAACGACAAAACCATCCTAAAAAATTTACAGTGAGGAGGGATCTAAATGGGAATCTGTCATCATTACTTTTTCTATTTTCTTTTGTTATTCCAACAATTTTTAAACACGCTTAATCTCCAACAATTATTAATTTTTTTTATTAGTTCTTATCTTCTTAAACACACCAATACATGTCATTCAAAACAAACAAGGAAAGGGGAAATGTCAATCACGCATTGTTCTTCTCACATTACTCTATGTGTTCTAATTAAAACAGAGGCAGGTTGAAGGAAGGCATTTGTTGCTCTGCTCCTTGATGCATGGATGCCTCAAGCTAAAATATAGAAAAGCACAAGACAGACAAAAAGAAAAAATGGACTTCACAGTACAACAAAAGGATATTATCATAAAAACAAATTATACAAATCATATTTGTAAAGGTATATCGTCATGGAAGCCAACGGAGGAGAGGACAAAGTAAATAAATGAATAAAAAGCACTAGAACAAGAATAGCAAACAGAAAACTCCCACAAAGTTTGGAATCCATTATCTTCTGTGGAAGAAGATATCTCCCCCAAGAAATCAAACCAAGTCAAACAAAAAGATATATAGTTTTCTCAAAAGTGTTATAAGTAGCCATTGGTTGGTGAATCAATGCTAACAGGAACTAAATTTAGAGAAGAAACGATGAATAAATTGAAACGGCTACACATTGAAGCTGAGAGGAGGATACTTCTTGATCTGAGAATCGGAACACCACCGTTCGAAAAATATCAATCAATCCAATTAAATTTAAACGGCGTAGCAACATAGATATTAAATACTGATGAATCAGGGAATGTGGAGGGAAACCTAAAATGATAGAAAACCGAAAAAGGAGCACACGGACCTTCTTCCACAGACCAGATCGACGGTGGACGAAGACCAGCAGATCGGAGATGGGGCGACTAGATCGAGCCAACACGGACCTTCTTTGACTATGGCTGGAGCTTGCTGCCACTGGCTGGAGCTCGGAGATGGCGAACGGCCGCCAAGTCGACAGAGAGAGGAGGACGGCTCAGAAGAAGAAGGAGCATGCGATCTGCACACGGGAGACAAGACAAAACGCCATGGCCGGAGATTTTTGCACTGGCCGTAGATCGGAGACGGCGGACGGTGACCAGGTGGGGTTGGGAGGACGACGAGAGTGGCAGACGGGAGACGGGACGAGAGAAATAGGAGTTGGCTTCCCTCTTCCAAGGAAAGCCCTAACGGTACGGAGGTGCGAAATCTGTACCATTCAAATTATTGAACGATTTAAATTTAAATTTTTCAAAATAAAAACTTACATAAATTTTAAAAAGTTTTAATAAATTTGTTCACGCAGCGCAATTCATTTTTAATATCAATGACCCATATTTAATATTAAAAATTTTATAAATTAATTTTGTAAATATATTTAATATACAAAATTTTAATAAATTTATTCACCTATTTATACAGTTTAAAGTAAATATAAATATTATATAGTTAATATTAAATATTTTATAAATTAATTATTTAAATATATTTAAAATTTTTTAATAAAATTGTTCACCTGTGTGCTGTGTGTACAGTTTGTATTTGATATAGATAATTCATATTTAATATTAAATATTCTATAAATTAATTTTTTAAATATATTTTAAATAGTATAAATTTAATATTAAATATTTTTATAATTTATATGGATTAATTATGAATCATTCATATTAAATTTAGATTGCCCTGACTAGCAAACATTTTTATAAATTTTAATAGGGAGTGGGAGGAGGGGATAGCAGGAGGAGAGAGATCGAGTCCAGAGAAATAAAGAATGATATATAATATTTATCAAAGGTAATACTGATAGGTGAGACTCTGACAAATAATTAATATTGTAACGATAAATTGATATGAGGAAAAGCAACCTCGTGAAACTTATTAGAAAACATGATTCTAGCCTCAATAATTAATTAGTAAAATTTTGAACTGTTTGGATAAATTTAATTGAAATTAATTATTTTGCCCAAAAGATGGATTAGTCATTCAATCCAAACAACATCTTAATAATTTGAAGGAAGTATTATAATCTTTTCATATTTTATGATCAATATTATAATCTTTTCATATTTTATGATCAATTATAAAATAAAATAAAAATAAGTATTTCAATCATCATCATCATTTTTTTAAGCGGTAACTCCAAAGATTATGTGGTGATAATTAAAAGATGAAAAGCGAGAAATTTTCAATCGAAATCTCTTAGCTGAAGGAATTTAGAAGTCTCAAAGAAGTGCTAACATCTTATAAAAGGATATGGATGAGAAGGTAAAGAAAGTTGTAAAAAAAAAAGTTTTGGGAGAATCAAAAGGTTTTGGTTCAAAATATAAAAAGTCTTAGTAATGAAATGATAGTGTACAAGAAAAATCAAGTATAAGAAGGATTGTTTTAAAGCCATTCATTTGTGCAATAATGATGAAAATTGAGAAAAGTATTGTATCACTAAAAGGGAAACTAAGAAGGCGGTGAATAAAGCTTGCTTTAAAGCATTTGAAGACTTTTATAATGGTCATATGATAAAGGGCGAAGAGCAAAAAATTTATAAGATTGCTAAGAGTAAAGAAAGAAAATCAAGAGATTTGAAACAAGTAAGGTATATAAAGGGTGAATAGGAAAATATTTTGGTCACAAATGGTGATATTAAAGATTGAAGGGGGACCTACTTTTCTAAACTTTTCGATGATGGTGAGAGTTCGTCTAATAATTTAGAAGATTTAGTAACTTTTAAAAGGGAACAAAATTTGTCATTCTATCAAATGATAGATTGGGAGGTAAAAGAAACTCTCAAGAAAATGACAAATTGTGGAGCCAATTGACCTAATTGTATCCCTATTGAAGTGTGAAAATGTTTGGCTAAAGAAAGGGTGCAATAGTTAACTAAGTTATTTAATGGGATCTTACAGTTCAAGAAAATGCATGATGATTGGAGGAAAAGCACCTTAGTTCCTATTTACAAGAATAAAAAGGATATTCAGAACTATAATAACTACAGAGGGACTAAACTTATGAGTCATATAATAAAATTATGGGCAAAAGTGATTGAACATAGGTTAAGATTGAAAATTGATATTTTTGAAAATTAGTTTAGCTTCATGCTAGGAAGGGCAACTACATGAGTGATTTATCTACTGAGAGGATTAATGAAAAAGCATCGATGTAAAGTTAAAGATTTACATATAGTTTTAATTGATTTGGAAAAGGCTTATGATTGTACAACGAGATAAGTATTGTGAAAAGCACTGAAAAAGAATGGTGTTTAGGTTGTCTATTTGAATTATACAAGATATATATGAAAGAACAACAACTAGTATAAAAACGCCTGGTGGCAAAAGAAATAACCTATAAAGATTATATTGCATCAAGAATTATCTGAGTTCTTCCTTGTTTGACCTGATCTTAGATATTTTAACTGAGCATATTCAAGAGGAAATTCCTAAATGCATGTTTTTTTATCGATAATGTAGTTTTTATTGTGAAGACAATAGAAGAAATTATCTGCAAACTTGAGTTATGGAAGAGGACATTGAAGCCAAAAGGTTTCTATCTGAGTAGGAGTAAAATAGAATATTTACATTGTAATTTTGATAAGAGGTCAATGAGTAATAATTTGAAAGTGAAATTGAGTAATCAGATGATACTTCAAGTGAAAAAATTTAGATAATTGAGAGTTATTATTCAACATAATGGAAAAATTGATGGTGATATTGCACATATGTAACCTCTCCCTAAACTAAACTATAATCCTGCCATATATATAATATAAAGATGGGTTAATTTAATCACCATATCACTACACTAAACTGAAATTAAGCAAATTTATTTGAAAGCACTTGAGAACTCAAGACTTCTTTGATAAAATCATTTGAAATCAAACACATATTACACAATACACAGTATAAGACATATACATGCATTCATCACTCCAAATGTATAATTTAAAACAGAATAAACAAGGCCAGAAATAGGGTAATGCACCGCGACATGTGGCAAGAGTTTTGTGCCATATGCCGCGACATGTTGCACCATACACCGTAGCGCAGATGATAGAATTTTACTATTGTATGACAATAAGCTGAATGAACTTTCAGCATACGCCGTTTTCACATATGATATCCAATCAGAGTGATTCAAATGCCTACATGAAACTTATTTTACAAGCTAGCTAATGGAATAAGTTTGGACATAATCTAATGATTTAATCTAATTTAGACACTCGAGTGTAAAAAGTTATTTTTTCTAAAAACTTCATGTACCTAAGTGTTCAAATCACACAATTTGTCCCATTAAGTTATTTTGGGCTTAGAATCAAGTCTAAAAAAACCTAGCACACCTAATTGAACAATAATCACAACATACATATGCATAAATCAAAATTTGGCCATTCATTGGCCCCTTTACACAATAAAAACTATTTTCACAACTAACCACAACAATGTGTTCTTGACCATTATATTCATAATTTCAACATAAGTTCATTACTGTCAACATATTCAAATATACATGCAAAGCCATCTCAGTCTACAATCACATTTCACCACTTTTTAATGTAATTGGGTTAAGATTCACAAAAACTAACATATTTTATCACAAAAATCACCTTGCACACTTGCACCATATAATTTTCATCAAATCTTAGACCACATCACATTTTCACACACATTAGGCTAAGATTCTTAAAATCATTACAAGTTACAATTCAAAACATGCATATGGCATACAAGCTTAAGATGAGATACACACACATTCTTAAATTTTCAAACAAGTAATAACAAAAACAATGATATATTCCTAAGTTGGCACAATGCTTAAAATATTCGTTACAAAAACCAAAATGACAAGGGAGAAGAGCAATACGAATGAGCTTTTCACTCTTCAATCATCCCTTTCTTCCCCTTACTCCTACAGAAGCTCTCACTTGTAAAATATAACCATGGGGTGAAACAAACATCTTAGTAATAAAATAATTCACCACTCTCAATTAGCATGCATAACCATAAGGGAATAAAACTAACATACACAAAAACATGCATTTAATAATCTTTTCAATCATCATGATTTATTTCCACTTTAGCATGATCATTCTACCATCCGAACCTCCATATTACCTTAACTAAAACCATGGACTCTTGGAACAAATGCACATTAACAATGGCTCGAGCTCACCTTCAGGAGTAGGATCACCCAACTAAAGGTGTGCTGTCCCACTTACAGGCTATGGTCTCCCCCTATCACACATGAATTGGGATGTCATTACTCCAACACCGCATCACTGATGCTAAAGAGTATCAATCTCCAACGTCACATCCTACTTGAATATTAAGGAGATGATTTTCAATACCGTACCTTACTAGGCACTAAGAAGATACATGTCATATGGGCTTCTACTACTTCTTTCTACAGGTAAGCTCCTACTCCTTATCATGATTATACTCACACTTTCCATACATATCACACACTTGTATAAAACCGCAATTTTTTTCACATAAAGAACTTTCAAAAATCTTTATCATTTTAAAATAATTTCTAATGCATAGAGAAATCATCTTCCACAACATGCCAAGCTTTCAAAACACATGTAAACAATTTACATACATACTCTCAAACAGTTAAGTAATATAATTAAATAGTGTAAATTATTTCATTACTTTAACCCTTTTGTGACAAAAGGGGTTACCATGGCTCAACATTAGTTCCACACATTCTACCCGCACAATAAGGCTTGAACAACACTTAATCTATACAATTTAGTAATAATTATCAATTATCACTCCGATTACACCCCGAAATTACTAGATTTCAAGTACTTATAACACCCAAAATCATCATTTAACAACATCAACCCTCCAATCCATTCCATTAATCCTATTTAATATCCAAACACTCTAACATAACCAATCATCTATCCACATTGTCCCAAAACTATCAATTCTGACATAGGGTTCGTTTAAACCCTAGCAAAAAACTTCAAATCAACATAAAACCCATAAACCTAGGGTTAGAAGCTTGATTTAACTTTTCAATACCTTAACTAAGTCAATGGGTTCGGTCTAAACCTAAAGAGACCAAAATCATAGCCCCCGTTGCTCCTAAAGTAAAAAATTTGCATAAAAATAGAGAGGGAGATGTGAAGGAAGCTTACTAAAGGGCGAAACTTGCTCCCAATGCTTCCAAATCAATCCTCAAGTTGAGCCCTAGGAGGCTTAAGTTGTTGCTCGTTCCTTTCTCAGTTTCCTTTTCTCCCACTTTTGATTTTGGTCTGTTTTCGCGAGTCTAATAAGTGTAAATTTTGCACATGCGCCGTAGTGCACTAGTGGGTCCGCCGTGGTGTATGTCATAGAGAATCCCAGACTCGTTTTAAATCTCTCTCTGTGCCACAGCTCGCTCAAACTCCAATCCAGCCCTCATCCAAGGCTGCCTAATGATCCATTAGCTATATTAGTCTCTCAAAAACACTATCAAACAATAATTAACTTAATTCGACTAAAATACCTTCATGAACACTGAAAATTTCCATGATAAAAGTCTAGGATATTACACTCCTGATAGTGTCCTTCTATCAATTCCTTCCAACCCAGAGATAATAGCAATGTTAGTTTATTACAATTATTTATTACCAAAAAAATTGCCAACATGAACGATAATTATTTATATCATTTTAATTTCAAACTTTCATTCAAAAAAAATTATCAAACTATATAATATAGTATATGGGCACAAAATTATACAAGTTCATCAAAAAAATAAATTTATAAAGCACATTGAAAAATCAAATTTTTTTGTGGAAATTTAAAAATTAATTTCAATTTATATACATCTCATGAAAAGAGATGCATTTGTTGCCTGGAACAGTAACAAGTAACTTGAAAAGGCGAGGAAAATAAAGGCCCTGTTTGGTAGTACAGAATCCTTAATATGGAAATGGAATTTGGGCAGGAATCCGGACAGAGTAGCGTTTGGTATACATGAATCAGGATTCTTGGGAATCCTGATTCAATGAGAAAATGCAGAATCAGATTCTATCATTCTATCTATGGAATCGAGCAAACTCCCTGGAATTCAATCTTTTCTCTCTTCTACCCTTCAACTCATCTGCCGTCGAATCTGCCTGAACATCATCTCTTTGTTGTTGGCAATGGTAAATGATGGCAGCACCATCGTAACCCATGACCATCGCCTCCGCCTTTGCTGCTCACCATCACCATTGCTTCCAACTTTGTGTGCCATCGACATGCCATTTTATGAGTGTAAGAAGTTTGTTTTCTTGATCTGCAGCTCCCTCTCTACTGTCTTCTTCCCCTTCTATTTTTTCTATCATGGGTTGCCAGAATCAATAAGTATGAAAAGGATGACACTTCCAGCAATGGCGACGACAAGGCGACCACCAGTGATGACTACCTTTCACCGGCATCAGACGACAACGTCCTTCTCTACAACAGGCTCAGCATAAACCACAATAGGTTCGTGGTGATGCTCCTTTTCTTTCTCTCTCTACTGCACACAGGTTGACAGCTCCATCACCGGCGATGAGCCACCTTTGCTCTCTATCGACTCAAGGAGCTTCACACCACTATCACAGGTCGACGACTCCATCATCCTCGTTCTAGATCTTCGTCGACTTAAGGAGACTCACACCATTATCACAGGTCGGCGACCCACCTCCCACGACCTCTCTCTCTCTCTCTCTCTGTGCGTGTGTGTGTAGGTGTTCCTGGTCTGGGCATGAATATCTAGCAATGGATGTTGTATGAACTATGTCATCGAGCACTGCTTCTTCATCTAGGTGTGAATCTAGCAGTGTATAAGGTGGACGAGAAAGACAAAGTAGGTGGGTCTTGTGAGGGTCATGATACTCAAACTTGATGCAGAGGGATTTGGCAAAAAAAGCTATGCAGAGAGAGATTTTTTTTATTCAAAAATATTTTAGTCTTTTAATAAGTAGATATATAGATTAAATATTAAATAATATAAAGATTTTATGTATATATTAAATACACGTATAATTCAATTATATTCTAATTTTAATTTTAATTTTGATTTCCATTATATCAAAAACTCTTCCTACGTAAAAAAGAAAGAGAGCTTCTAGTTTCTACCATGTATGAACGATCGTGAAGTCAGCGCTGTTAAACTTCGTCACTTCACTTTGTACCGGACGGAGGTTTTGTTCATTTTGTTTGGTCCTCTGTTGAGTGGTCTGAGTTCAGAAAAACCCTCCTACTCGTCATGGACTTCCAAGTGGTTGTTCTCGCCGGCGGTACCTCCAACAAACTCCTTCCTCTTGTCTCCCAGGTACCCTCTTTGTTATTGTTCCCCCTTTTTCAATGGTTTTTAAGATTTTCCTAGCCTCTACCATTCTGGAAATGATTCACTGAATAAAATCCAATCCCTGAATTGTTATTCTTCTTCTTGATCCTGCTTTCCTAGTATTGAGTGGCTTCAGTGGATATATTTTGGAAATTCTTATCCCTGGGCGGCTTTTGTTTTACGAGTGCAGGAGGTTCCGAAACCTTTACTTCCCGTGGCGAATAGGCCAGTTCTATCTTACGTTCTTGAGTTGTTGGAGCTCAGTAACCTTAAAAAGCTCATAGTGGTACGATACTTCTTAATCACTTTGGTTTGTATCTATTATTTTTGTTTCCCCTTTATACTCCTGCTGGCATTGAATATTCTGGAGAGGGAGGAAGGAAAAAAGATCAGAGGAGAGCCTGGTGATTTGATCATCATTACCTGTGATGTAGTGACCAACAAACTGTAAAGTTGCTGAGTCGTGATGAGTATTCACTTCCTTGACGCAAAGGGCTATATCATTATGACAGCGCTATGAATCCTGAATATTGATTGGAATTCGGGTTATGATTCAGAATTCTTGATTACCGTTTGTCTAGGTCGTTGAAGGTGAAGAAGCAGCTTTTCATGTTGGTGGTTGGATATCAGGGGCTTATGTTGATCGTTTGAATGTTGAGGTAACCTTTTGACATGCCATCCTTCCTGCGCATGCTTTTGTCAAGGTGAAGGATGTTGCTCAATAAAATTAAGGACCGTATGACTAAAGCGACAGATTCAAAGGGGTTCATACTTTAAGCATCCAATATTTAAAAGAATAGTAATATTGATTTACTGCTGATGCCCATAAATTGGAATGAAACTTTGAACTCTTGCCCAAGATGAGAATAATTCATTGAGGTTAGTAGATGATAGGTTTTAAACAGGTCCATTTATTTACATTCACCAATATTTTTTTATTCTGGAATAAAACTGGTATGATTGCAAACCATCTCATAGCCTCTAAATTTAGCTGAGGAACCACATTATTAGCTTTAATGTGTACTTCTAAAGACCTGTCAATTTGGAAATGGAATGCTTGTTAACTAATCTGAAATGCAATACATTAACACAAACATGTGGGATGACTTGAGCACCAGTGCAAATTGAAGCATAATTGTCATTATCATCCTAAGAAGCATAAACATTGGTATGAACACAATAAAAACATGGATATGACACTGCAAAGTAAAAAGTCTCAAGGTGCTATATGAAGTGTTGCATTATGTTTAATGGGTGTGTCAAGCATAGAGTCAACTTTTTGAATTGTTTGTATTCTATATTACATCTTATTGGTGTGATTGATATTTTTTAAGGTCATCTAATTATGCCTTCAACGGGTTTGGATTGGTTCTCATAAGATAAATCCTCCGTAAGAGATAACAAAGAAACTTCGCCTCAATTTTTTCTCCTCACTTTTGGATCTTTGAATTGTTTTCAATTGATTAAATAAAAGGGGGAAAACTTGGCTAATCTTTCTTCTTAGTTGGTGCCTCTTTAATTGAATAAAACTAACAGATACAGCAAGTGATTATTACTCCTTGGCATCAAACCTCTAGATGTATCTAAGTCACTTAGACGATATTCTGAATTTTATGAGAACAGGTATATGCTCATTGTCCTTGGCTCAAACCGAATTTTTTTTTTGTCTAAGCTGTGGAGGGTTGAACTATCAACACTGACAATATGTGAGTTACCATTTAAAAAATATGAATGAGATTTCCTCCTGGAACCCCTGCAACTATTTCTGCACTAGAAGAGTTCTTTAACATCTAATTGAAACATTTATTGGTGGTAAATGCATCAACATTTTAGGTGTATGAGGGATGTAGATTTAAAAGGCTGCCAATTTCAAAATTCAGTATGTGGTCTTGTGCAGTCTTTTGTTGCTGAGTACTTCATGATGTCATTGTGGATGCATTTTAGGCATGCATATTTGCTCCATGGGATGTCTGACATTGACATATTGGTCTCTTGTATAGTTACATTTTTGCTTGCAGGATCAAGTCTTTCTGAATAATGACTGAAGTTCAAAAAAAAAAAAAATGCACTAATTCATTGTATGTACTTTGTATTAGTACCACTGTCACTTTTTGGGTACTGAAGGAGACCATTGACCATGCATTTGTCGGCAGTGACTTTAAGCTTGTAACTTCATTTTCTTTTCATAAATTTGTACTCCTTGTACAGATTAATTAAATATATACACCAATGTCTCAGGTTGCTGCAGTTCCTGAGGATGTGGGAACAGCTGGTGCAATTCGGGCTATTGCACACCACTTAACTGCTAAAGACATTTTGGTAACTTCTCCTCCCTCATGCCTTTAGCTCTGAGATCTGAATGAAGCTAATCCTCATGGATTATGGCTATATTTTATTTTTCTGCAGGTTGTCAGCGGTGATCTTGTTTGTGATGTACCTCCTGGTGCCATCGCTGCTGCTCATAGAAGACATGATGCAGTGTTTACTGCAATGCTTTGCCCTGCTCCTGTAAGTGGATCTTCAGAGTCAGGAACCTCTGGTGGGAAAGACAAAACCAAGAAAGTTGGTCGCCATGACTTAATTGGGCTGGATCCCACAAAACAGTTTTTACTGTACATTTCAACTGGTTAGATCCTTAGTTTTTCCTTACATTTGCATTTTACTTCTATGTACTCACGTAGAATCTTGAAACTCTTTCAGGAGCTGAAGTTGAAAAAGATGTTAGAATTCAGAAGAGCATACTTCGTGCAGTTGGTCAGGTGTAGTTATTCATTATTTTGTTTGTTGATCTCACCTTTCGTTGTGAGTTATGCTGTGTTAAATAAGCATCCTTTTTTCAATTGTGAAAATCATATGTTTATGCTTAACTAATGTTACTTCCAGGCACATTTTTCCACTGTTTGTTTCAGTCTTGACATCTATGATTCTGCATGTTGGCCAACATTATTATCATTGGTGTTCTTCTCCGTCTGCCCAGAGATGAAATTAAATTCCATGTGCCCAATTAGAGGAAACAACGATTTTGGTCCTCAAAAGATTCATGTCTTCTCGAATTAACCCCTCCTTTTCTAAATTGAATAATCAAATGCGTTTAATTTGCTTCAGTCTAGTCATTGCTTGAAAGGCTTATGCAAGAAGCCAATGGAGGCAAATTAAAACATTCAAGCAGTAGATAAAAATTGAAGGTTAGGGACTATATTGAGAAAACAGGTTCTTTCAAGAACTAACACGACAGTTTCCTTCCTTTAGCTAATACCATATTGAATGATAAATATTTATGCCATTTTCTTCTCCATATTTGTTAAAATTTTCTACTTTTTTTGGGTGTTATTTATCCTCTATGTAGATGGAAATAAGAGCTGATCTTATGGATGCCCATTTGTATGCATTCGAGAGGTATTAACATTTGCTTCTTAACTTCCATATATCCCAAAACTGTGTCAAGATTTGGAAATATACCACCCTGATTTCTTTTCAGATCAGTTCTACTAGAAGTTTTGGAACAAAAAGCCACATTTCATAGCTTAAAGCAGGATGTATTGCCTTATCTAGTCCGGACCCAACTGGTTAGTTGTTTAAGGTCTCTGCAGTGGTAATTGTCAGGGGTTTTCGTTCTTAGGTGCTAACCTGTTTCAAATTTCCTTGAATTATTGTCAGAGATCAGAAGTTTTGTTCAATGGTACACCGCAAACTGAAGAAAATGGATCTGAGAGGGTTATATCTCAGAGCAATGAACAAATGTCATCTCAAATCCTTTCTAATGCAACTCATCCAACCTTCCATCAACGACATGCACCGGGTCCTACCTCTTCTACTTCTGCTGGAAGAATTCATAAATGCTGTGTTTATATTGCTGAAAGCAGCAAGTATTGTGCACGCTTAAATTCTATTCAGGCATACAGTGACATAAATCGAGATGTGAGTTCGTTTAGTTGGAAGAAACTTTTTATTCAGGATAGTCTTAAATGGTTCTTCAGGATGCGCTTTGCTTCCTCGAGTTTCAGAGATTTTTTCTTTTTCTTTTAATACGTGACAGGTTATAGGAGAAGCTGGTCATTTATCAGGGTATTCCTTCTCTGCTCACAACAATATTATCCATCCTTCTGCAGAACTTGGAGCAAAAACGACCGTGAGTTAAACTATCTACAAACACTTCAAGACAGTCTTAATGTGGGAAACATGCTGTTTGATTCTGGTTTACAATGTTGATTATGGTGACTTTTTTAGGTAGGACCACACTGTATGCTGGGTGAAGGTTCACAGATGAGTGACAAATGCAGCGTTAAACGGTCTGTTATTGGTCGTCACTGCCGGATAGGTGCCAATGTTAAGGTGCGTTGATATATTAATAATACAAGTTGACTGGAAGTTAGCTTTCATTCTTCAATTTATCTATGACACTTGGATCTTTATACTCAGCATTTGATTAGCACGTTGGCTTCTTATTAATGTTACATTGTATTGAGTAAGTTTTATGTTTGATTTTATTTGAATTTACTTATCCATGTGCAGATTGTTAATTCCATAGTTATGAATCATGTTACTATTGGAGATGGTTGCTCGATCCAAGGTTCTGTCATCTGCAGCAATGTGCAGGTCCAAGAGCGTGTTGTGCTAAAAGATTGTCAAGTAAGTTCTCTCTCATTCTCTCTCTGTGTTGTGTTTGCAAATTCAGTTGGATTTAATGTCGCCTGTTTTCCCAGATTGGAGCAGGTTTCGTGGTCACTGCGGGGAGTGAGTACAAAGGAGAAGTGTTGGCTAGGAAATGAAAATGACATGTGAAAGTCCGACGGGGGATCATGGCAAATTGAAGTTCGGAGGAAATTTTTGCAGTCGTTGCTGGAGCCATGTGCAATGGCGTGCTCTTGGCAACAACCCATACATCATTGAATTTTTCAATTTTTTTCTTCATTTTTGCTCCTTTGCTTTATTTTATTTCCCCCATCCTGATTGTATCTGCAAACACTTGTACTGAACCAGAACAGCTTCAATCAATCATCGTTCAGTATCTCTTAACATAAATGACTGCATATTGAGAATTGACATTCGTTTTACTTTATCCTTAAATGGTTTGCCGTTTAAATGCTCGCACGAGAGATTGTGATTGGTATTGCTTGTTTTGTGTTGCAACTCGTCTGTGTACCACCTATAAATCGAACTTGACCTCCTTCATTTGAACCCATACTCTGTTGTGGCCATGACCATTTACTTCACCTTTTGTTTTAATGCTTTTTTTTTTTTTGGGGGGGGGTAGATAAGGCATGTGAAAGTTTACATATGAGAGACATCACACTTCAACTAGAAATATGCATTAAAATGATGAAACTGATGGGCATCTAGCATGTTAACTGAAATAATACTATTATTGTCAAACTACTAAACCCTTTACTTGAGTGTAATGTGCCCCGTTCAGTGTAATTATTTCTTGTACTAAGTGCAATGTCATGAGCTTGTGATGCTCTGGTGATAATCTCATCACAATTCTTGTGCATTTGTATATGTAATACAACTGTCATCCTAAGAAACTTTGGAACATAAAAATCAAAGGATTCCTGTATCCTCGTATTCACTTTGCAAAGCGGAGCGTCCACTCTGTAGCAATATCATCGTGCTTTGCTTTATCTCCCAAGTACAAGTGGGCAATGCCTTGAACAACCGCATTATCTACAACACCAATAGCAACTTGAGATAAAAACCATCACTCTTGAGTCGAGTCACAACACATAATGTGCAGCATTAGACCAACTTCCATTTCTAGAAAATGCAGACGTTCCATAAATTTGTCAAAATTGACCCAGAAGGGCCTGGGAGGACTTACAAGGGTCAGGATTTATCAAAATTGATCTAACTGCGAGTAGCACCTTAGTAATCGTTAGTGCAGGGCTCCAACCATCCTTCAATATGCCCAAACTAACTTGGCCAGTAGTGTCAATATTGCAGTGGTAAATGCGAGTCTTGCATTTGACCTGCAAGCCAAGATTGTTTGATTGAGGAACAAAGCCAAGAAAACATACCAGATTTTAAAGACCATTAAGAAGTTACCATTCAACATTCAGCAATTCAGACTCAACCAGCATTACATTACAAAACAAGACAAAGAAAACCATAAGCCAGGCAGTAAATGTTCTTCCCCAGTATGGGCTCAAAAGATAAAACTTATGCACCCTAATTCACATTTGTTGTACAGTTTTGCATATATTATATATATGTTTGGACTGAGGAGAACGGATGAGAAAAGAAGGGAAAGGACTTCTTTCTTTTTTTCTTCCTTCCTTCCTTCCTTGGTTTTTTTTTTTTGGTATTTGAATTAGAATAAACAGTTTTTCCCATTCCTTCTAAATTTATCTCCTCAATCCAAACATACTCTAAAAGAAGTAACTAAATCAATGATAATGTCCAAATTAAATTTTTCCTCTTCCTTGACCTTCAATCTCCTCCATTCTCTGGTCAGTTAAAAGTTTAGAAAGACTACAATGAATAAAAGAATTCAGTAATCTAAATTTTGAAATGATTGCCTCCGCAGAAAAATAAATAATTTACAAAAAAATCTTAGAAAAATTGCATGACATGTACAAGAGAAATATATTGATGTGTTCGAGACAAGCTGAAAAAACTATAAAAATACAATATCTTCCCTTTCTCTAGTCATGACTCACAAAGTACCCTTCTTTTTATCTATGACTACACCCAGCCAAAAAGCAAGTTTACTGCAGTTTTGGGAAAAGCAATTATAACTACAAAGAACTACTTGAAGTAAGAACAATGCTGCTCAACATACCTGCGGAGGCTTGAAGGGATATTCACTCGGAAATATTATGTCAAGGAAAAATATGCCACCTTCATAAGGTGTCCCTACATTAGACAAACGAAAAGCTCATCAAGATTGCCAGCTTATGCTAATGCAACTTGTAGTTAACCTATGTCCACATATCATTACAATGCTTCAAATTTAACCAAAAAGAATGCAGGCGTTGTTAGTGGACCAGACTTCGCTCAAAATACTTAAAATTTCTGTCTGGCATGTAGAAGCAGCCCCGACCAAGTCTTCGGCATATGGTTTCACCAAAAACCAGGACATAAGTTTCATCATAAGGTGTTCTGGCAAGCAGAAGCAACCCCGATCAGATGTTCCCCCTTTCCAGTAAACTTGATTGAATTGAATACTCAATGATGTTTAGCACCCGTTTAGTGGAGGAAGCCATCATAATCTGGCACGTACTCAAACATATTCTACTTGAACCAACATCTACAACCTCACGTCGAGATTTCAGCACACACCGCTTTATAACGCAATATAACAATCAAAAAGTCGAAAAAAAAAAGACTGCTAATATAGAGCTTTAAACAAATATTAAATCAAAAGAAAAGGAGCAAATGTTGAGACCTGCGGGACCGATTATAGTTGCGACCCAATGGTAGAGATTATCACCCTTGGGTCCAGCAGAACATTCAGAAGGGGGATCATTGTTGAGCTCCACCATTTCCCTCTGAATCCTTTTTCCCGATGCCGAGACCGAAGTTGTGGGTGCCCATGAGGATGTTGAAGATGTTGAAGAAGATCTTCCTCCTCCCCCACCCGACATCATCATCTCTGTACTGACCAATTCCCGATGCAGAATCACCCACAAAGTGAGAGACAGAGCTCACTGCTCAAAGAAAAATAAATAAACAAAATGCGTGTCCCAATTTACTTGAGGGTGAAGCATGACCCGAACTAGAAAATTGCGGAGTTCTATCGCAGCATCGATCAGCTCAATATGGGGAGGGGAACGGCAAAGATTTTCTTCTTCCTTTCTCTGTCTGCCAAAAGTTTGCATCTTTTAAGTAAAACCAAGACTTATTGGCACTAAACAGCGCAGCACAGTTGAAATCAAGACGTTTTAGGGCTAGGTCCTTCCCTTGGGGTCAAAATAGTGGTAAGCAAAGGAAGAGCCAGACTTACCTTCAATTGGGCAAAGGTAGCAACTGATCCTGGCTTCGAATTCCGTAGTGTATTGGCGCAAGAAAGAGGGTGTATTCCTCCTTTTCTACATCGAGAGGGATGGAAAGGTGAAGGCAAAGCGTTCCGTAGTAATTCTGGAAGTTTGGACTTACTGACCCGACCCCCATATCCTTTATGCCTTCCAAAAATCACGAAAGGGTTTGCAGTTATACATTCTAGGCAAAATAATATACTGTACGGTCTTTATATAGAACATGCGTATACTATTAGTCAATAAGTATAAAGTTTATAAAAGACTATGTTATTCATAATCCACAAACATCAAATAATATAACACTTCTCAAATTCTTTGTAAAACACAGGGTCTATTATTTTTCATAGGTATTGTTTGGTTGCTAAAATGTTCTTAGGAAAATGGGAATAGGGTTTGATGGAATAAAATAAGTAGGCTAATAGGTTTGCGATTTCATAGAAATGAATGAACAATATTACCCCCGATACAAAAATATTTTTATTAGGTCTTTTGTTATTGGAACATATTAACATCTTTTCAAAAAAAAAATTGAAAAATGTTTAATAATTTTTTGTTGTTTCTAGAATTACTTTAAATTCTCAAATCATCCTTTAAATAATATTAAAATATTATCACATGTTAAAAAATATTCTTTTCTAATTTGTAAAATTATTCTGTAATTTATTAATAAAATAATATTGTATTCATTAATTGAAAATATAAAACGGCAATTCGGTCATTATACAACACATTCAAAAAATGATTATGAGAAGGAATGGGCTAAAAATAACCACTCTCATTCTAGCAACTAAGTGAATTTACCCTTTTTTTATATACAAGGTCACGACAAATTTTAAACATTTCAAATGAACTAAAATTAGAATTAAAAAAATAGACGGGTTCAATTCTTAAGGACCTGAATCCTAAAACCTAATTTCTTATTTTTAACCCAATGTTTTAAGTAGACCCTTATGTGAAAGGAACATGCAAACCCTATTTTAAAAAATAAAAAATTAAAATAAAATTAAACATTATAAATTAATTAAAATATTATAAAATTAAAAAAATTAAAATTCTTATAATTTTTTAAAACTTAAACAATACACAGTTAGAAGTCTAATAATAAAATTTAAATCTTAATTAAAAACAATTCATTTTTTATAAATACACAAACATAATAATTATACAAAAATAAAAAAATATCAAAAAATTTATACTACACACTGATATTTATTAAATTATATCAAATCCATTTTAAAATAAATTAAAATTATAAATAATATAATATGTATAAGATTAGTTGAGCATATCATTGACTTTAAACACGTGTTTCACAAAAAAAATAATAATAATAACATAACAAAGTTTGAAGAGCAATTCAAACTCAAGTTTTTTTTTTTTTACAGGGCTTATTAAGACTAAGCCCTCAAGCCCAATTACTTAAAAAAAATTATTTTTAAAATCCAAACCTTTATCTAAATAGAGCTTTCAAGCTGGGCTTTTATTTTTAACTCTAACTAAAACTAGCAGCACAGTACTTACAGTGACAGAACCATCCAACAATAAACCTTCCGGGAAAAGAACAGTTCTGAACAAAGTCAATCTTAAGATTCGAATCTAATCAAGTAAAATGGAATCTAAAATTGCCGCCCCTACATCCCCCATTGTTTTATGCCTTCTTCAAGGCCTCAGTTTCACGCTCCGCAACTAAACCACTTTGGTCTGTAAATTACAAAGATCCTAACCTCCCAACCAGGATGACAAATGGAATAGTGGGAAATGATAAGAAGAAATCGACACAAAATTGATCACCGCTTTCATTCCATGAATCATCAAACTAAATTTTTAAACCGAGAACCTTCAGGTCATTGCAACACCAATGCAAAAAATTACACTAGATATCAGATACTGAAGCATGGATACTTGCAGGCTCCAACTTCCTCCTACAGCGCTTTCGGGGCCCAGTGATAAAGGAGGAAAACTCCCCCCTGTTGCACTTGAGTTCGAACTGAAATCAAAATATGCATGCTCATCAAAACTACTTTTAATTTAATTATTTAAGAGACAGCAGCAGTTCGCAGTTCTCACCTTCCTGTGTATCTACAGGAGCCATAACCTGCAACACAACGCCCGGCATTAGTTGCCTCAACACAGGTTCACCAGAATACCACGCCATAAGAAGTAAGCGTTTATTGATAAACACCATTCAGGCGAATTAAAAACTTGAACTATGGTTTTGACCGAAAAGAGGGGGAAAAAATGGTTAATAAATCTCTATATAGTCTCTGCCTAATTGCATATAAGAAATAAAGGCAAGGTTAGTGGTCACAGCATTGACATATGATATAAGAAATAAGCAAACCAACCTTGTTTCATTTTGAATACCCTGAAAAAAAAAAAAAATCCTTTCTACAGTGGGAAAAACTCCGATAAATCATTGCAGGAGAAAACAACTACCTTTGAAATTACAGTGATGGCACCAAATTCAACATGCCAAAGATGATCATTAAATGCAAATTACACAACCTTAAATGGGTGTGGCCTCAAGCATGAAATTGTAAATGACATTAGAAACCATAATTTCATCCACCGCTTGTTTTCAAAGGAGGCGCCATTAAATTTCTACAACTGTCCGTGGGTGCGACAATAGTTTTATAAAATGTAATACCCTCATTTGTGTCACGTGATAAAAAGTAGAAGAGTCGCAAGAGTAACTTATCAAGAAATCGGATTTAACAGGTATAGCAAGGTCACACTGACTTACTAGGATCCACAGTAGTTGTTGTAGCTGTACCATCAAAGTCACAAGTTCCACCAGTAGCACGCATTTTCTGATAATAATCATTATAAGCATAAGAAGCATGGCTTTTTACATTATTAGGCAAGTAACATGGCTTCCCTGCTTGAATAGCCGCACAGTTAGCTTGGCCTTGTCCACAAGCCCAGTTCAGACCTGTTTGCAGCTTATCAGAATCTGCGCCATCTTTAGCAACACAAAAGACTGCTGAAGAATTTCCAGTAATTTGACTTGATCCACTTAAACTCAAAGGATAGACAGCGGTTCCATTAGTATTAAGAATGCCCCAGTTTTTTTCTGATATAGGCCCATTCCTCTTGTCTTCATTAAACAATTCATATATGTACGCATTAATGGCTATATGTGGCTGACTAGGTGGACCAGAACCATTTAGAACTCGTCGAATCAAATTATTATTGTAGGTTTCAGCATTTTCCACAGTAGCATCTGGTTCATTAGATCCGCCAAATGATGGCCAACCAGTCTCTGTGACAATAATTGGGATATTCGAGAAATGGAAAGCATCTAAAGAATAATAGGTAGCATCCACCATAGCATCAAACATGCTGTTATAATGGAACAGAGTGTTTGGATCAACAATTTGCTTGACTGAAGGAAGTGGTTGAAAAAGAGCATATTCAATTGGGAAAATACCATCCCCCTTGGTGTATCCATAATAAGGATAAGCATTCAACATGTACGAGGAGTTTGTGTTCTTCAAAAACTGAAGGAGTTGGTAGATTGTAGCGTTCATAGAAGAATTAAAAGTGGCGGTGGAAGGAGGAAAAGGCCTAGGTATTATGTCCATGGACTGTGGAGTTGAAACTTTGACTCGAAAGTTAAGGTTTGCAGCAACCAGGGCTCTGTGAAGATAATTCATAGCAGGAACTAAAACAGGGGCAACATTTGGGATTTGGGTAAGAACCTCACTGCCAACAGCAATGGTTGTGATATTGGTGGAAGGCACATAAGCTGCTACATTTTTATTGACCCAGGCTGCAGCTACTGATGGAGATTCTCCAATCCCTAGTAACTCCTCATTTGTGAGGCCGACAATTACTTCAATGCCAGATTTTGCAAGAGCTTGCAGCATGTGAGTGTTGGCATCATAAAGGCGCACGTGAGTAATTTGATGGGCTTTAAGAATAGCAACCACATCTGCAGCTGATGGCAGGCTAGAAACATCAGTTCCAATGTTTATTCCCACAAACGCACCTGCAAATTCAAGAACACAATCCAATATCAACTCAAAGAAAAAATGGTATATATTCAGTTATCACCTCATTGCTTCCCCATGTGGCTTTCATAAACCAGTTTTTTTTTTTTTTCCCAACAGTCAAGCTGAACAAGAACCAGGCATATTGTAATTAATTAGGGAAAACAGCAATTTGGACCTTTGATTATTGCTTGAGCTATCAAGCTAAAAATTGAAGAATGCAGGATGATAACTTGGAAAAGACAGAAACTCAGCTTGTAACTTCTTTACAGTATCTGGGAGGCACTGAACAATATCAAGAGATGGGTTTCAAATATTTCAAAGCATCCACCAATGCTTCCCCTATTTAAATCTGATTGACAAAAATAAAATGGCTGAAAGTTAGATTACCTGATGCGCAGCTTAAAATTGTAAAAGTGAAGAACAAAACACTTGCAAGCCATCTTTGAAGCTTCATTCCATCCACTAAAATCTCAACCACTGACTTCAGCCCAATGTCAATGACTCACTGGAATGTACGGCCTTTAAAAATAGAAACCTAAACAATGAACTTGCAATCAGATTTTCTACAACTTTAATCACCACATACAGAAACAAAACATTTAATTAAAAGCCCACCAGTGGGATCAAACAGCCAATTCGAAGGATCAAAGACTTACAGAAATTAAGAGCCAAACGACAACAGTAAATTTTCTCTATATGATGATAATGATAAAAATAAAAATAAGCGTCCATGCCCATTGCTATAGACATTTGTTATATAAATTAACTCCTACCAAAACATTCAGGCAAACGTATGGAGGTGACAACAGCAACTTCCCTTAGTTTTCGAAAAAGAAAATAAGTCACTTAAAAATCACCAATGCCCGTAATAAAGTACTAGAATCATTGCTTAGTTAAGAAATGCAAGAACAGTGGAAGAAAAGATCAGCAAAATTTGCTTTTTTCCGGTAAAAGGTATAGTTAAAACAAAAAGATTCCTAAAGTTACTCAGGAGGCAAATGTTTGCAAAGAACAGAAAAGAAGCAAGGAGGCCCGCTGAATGTTTAAGAGATTAGATTTCATCACTTTAATTGGCGCGTCATCAAGTTAAAACTTCCTCATTCAAATTCACGTTCGTGAGAAACTCAGAAACATATTTCCGGCATAGCGTTCCCTTGAGAAGGAGAATCCCGAAAGCCGCCTAACAAATAGTAAAGCTATACTGATGCCTGATCTGATCAGCCCAAAGAACCGAAATTCATTTGTGGTTCATAGTTGCCGCAGCACCTCTACTCAGAAGACGCGCGAAGAAATCCCAAAATAGCAGAATGTTTCTCTTTTGTGTTTTTTTTTTTTGGGGGGGGGGGGGGGGAGCCGCAAAAATCCAGCAAGATTAAAAACCCTCCACAACTAAAGATGGTGCCTTTTAAATGCCTAAGGCGGAACAACGCAAAAACACACTTGTGCAGAGCAAGACGAAGCTATGTGAACCATCTAATAATAATTAAACAACAATACTCCGATGCATCGTAGATGCATGGTCTAGATCATTAGTAATAGAGATAGCATTGCAGATAAGATGAAGTAGAAAAGTAAGTGGTACAACACAGAAGAAGAATGCGTATTGATGAACCTCTAACGGCAGCTTCGCCCGAATCCAAGATACTGAACAGCCAACAGAGCAAAGTCCAACTCTTGCTGCTCTCCGGCTGTCTACTTGTGCTTCTTTTCCTCTTTCTTGGTGAGATTTTTGCGCCACGGAGACATCGAGAGACTCGCCGAGCATTTAGCGTCATAGGTTCATATTATTTATTAATTTGTAAAAATTAGTAAAAGGCAATGATTCTGCCACAAAAAGGGCAATTCTTTGTCTACTTTACCATCGTGTAATTAAAAAGGAAAATAGCTCAATAAAGTGATAAACTGAACAGAAGCCGAAAGGCCATGACTCATCATGACGCGGAAGAACAGTCCAGTAGGCCTAACGGGACTAAAATGTGGCCCCCCGATAATTACCATTTAAAACCTTAAATTGTTAAAATTTCAACAAAAAATCATGTTTCTTAATTGAAATTAAACAAGATTCCTTTTGCCAAAGATACTCACACCTGCGCGACTAGCTGTGGGTGATCAGCTGGTAGGAAAACTTGTACTCCATCCATTTTTATTTATAAAAAAAATTACATCACCTAATTTAAAAAAAAATTAATTGATTAGATTAGTTGTGTTTAAAAATAAAAAAATTAGACTAAAATATATTTTATTAATTGTTTCTTAAAACAATGAATGATGAAATTATAAGGAGTAACTTAAAAAATTTGCAATAAATACCTATTAAAAAATTGTAATTTTACTTATATAAAAAAATAAATTAAAAATGACAGTTTAGAGTATATAACAAGCTACTTTTTCCCTAGCCAAAAAAATTCTTTGAAATAAAAAAAATCCTTTTTTGATAATTTGGTTGAGTTATGATAGTTGAGAATTTATAAGATTAGTCTAAAATTCCTTGACTTCACCTCTAAAATACGTTAACTTCACTTAAAAATTGACTGATTTCATACTTGAATTAAATTTTCGGTAAGAAAATATCATTATTAAAATTGTTTAAAATAGGATGAATTTTTCTTAGTTCTACTATTAAAAAACTTGAACATCACTTAAAAATTAACCTATAGACTTTGATTAAATTATTGGTAACTGAAAATAGAACAAGTAGAGATGTCTAAGATAATCAATTAGCTCATAATTCAATTGATAAAGGATTTTGTTAACTTAACCAGTGTTCTCAAGTTCAAATCCTAATATGCAGCCATGTTAAATACTTGTTGGGAAAACTTTACTTTTAATGTGATCCTAGCCAGCTTGGCTTATGAATGATAGATAATTATATTAAAAAAAAAGATGTCTAAGATAATTAAGTTTGAAATTTCATTAACTCCTCTAATTTTTATTACCGACAACTAAATTAATGTTTTAAATAACTCCACGTCTATTTTTTTCACCAATGCGGGTTCTAGTAAGTAGGTGTGAATACATTGTGAAAATATTTCAAATTATAAAACCAAGATAAACATGTCGCTGAATAATGGTGATAAAAAAGAATACATAATAAAAAAAAGTAAATGTAATTTATAATTTATGAATTATATATAAGTTGATATAGATTTTGTATTAGATATAGAAACATGAGTTACGGTGTTTGAATATGAAGAAATACAGGAGTCAAATAAAAAGGAAGAGTTACCACAATTTTTGCGCAGCAAAACCAGTTGGTTTGAAGAAGACATTAATGAAGTGTTGGGGGTTATGGGAATACGTGGTGAAAGGAAAGTCAGAAGAAAAACGCAGGGCAATGCTACCTCAAGCTTCTCTCTCATCTCCCCTGCCACCTCTTTACCCACTTTATTTTCACTCCTGATTTGTCTCAGAAAAGAAAATATGAGATGTTAGTTCAGGTGTAAATGTAGTGGCATAGATTTAGAGTTAGATAAAGTGAGGGATTGAAGAGTGAAATTCGTCCATTGGGGTCCACAAGCTAAGCAGCAGTAGATAGGGATTAGTTTGCCCCCCGAGACGTGACAAAGACATGCAAAAACACCTTTCTTTCTTAGTTGTAAAGTGGCCGCCAGGCATTCCAAAAGCTTGCTTTCATTTGTGCCCCGCTCTTTTCATCTCAAAATTCAAATCCCTTCCTTATTCATTCACACTGCTTATCAGTGGCTAGCAAGTTTGAATTAGTGGCACTTCAAATTTATACCCTATCAAATGGACCGGTTCTCTCTACTTAGTCAAAAAGATAGTGACAGCTGTAGCCCAAATATAGCAACGTTGATTTCACACAAGGCGCCTCCCCAACATGCTCTCCCGTCCTTTAGTATAGTATTTTCGATTTGGTTTATGGACCCAGCTGCCGCGTTTTCCATTCTTTTGATGAATCTACGTCGTCATTGTTTTGATTCGCATGAACGCTTCTTAACCTGATTCTCATGTCTTTAATTTAACCTTTCTGCATCAGAAATTTTTTCTTTTCCATGAACAGAATATTTAGAATATGGCAAAAAATACAGTTAAAAATAGAGACTCACGCAAATACTCAAGCAACTGTTTTGAACCATTGAATAAATTTATAGAACATATGAGGAGCAAGATAGAAGTTGAAAACCAACTAGAAACAGAAAACAACTATGAAATATGCCAAACCAAAGTGAAATGAACATTAGTTAAAAAATACTCCCTCCATTCTCAATTATAAAACACATTTACAAAAAAATTCAACGTCCTAACATATAAAATACTTTAATAAAAATAAAATTTTATTAATAATATATTTTTAATATTTTTATTTTTATATATTCTCTTTTTTCAATATTCTTCTATCAATTCAACACTAAATAAAAGATATTTTTAAAAATTTATATTTTTATTTTAAAAAAATAAAATTGTAAAACGTGTTTAATATATCTTATTAGAATATAAAATTTTATTTAAAAATATTTTATAATTTAAGATGGAAGGAGTATTAAAATATTGGCTCGGCCCTTTATTTTATGCAACGGCAATAACAACTTCCCATAGAACTTCATTCGAAATCATAACGAGGTAAATTATAATAGTAACTTTTGCAAGAATATTACTACCAAGACTGCATTAATTCTAACAACCCTCATTAAAACGTAACGCTTATCAACAATCAATCCCTCATAAAAACGTAACTTTTGATACTAAGTTTTCATTCTAACAACGAAGTAGTCTGACTTCAGCTTCAAGTTACAACAGAGGAGAATTGTCCACATTTTTAAACAAAATCCAACATCCGCACGGTCCAACTGGTGAAGGTCTAAGGCATCTCATTGACTGGGCGACCGACCACGAGCTGGTTCCCCAGCATAATCATCACGATTCGGACTCTGACTGCGGCTCCGGCTTTGACCCTTGGCTGGACTCTGACTACGACTCCTTGAGCCACCGTTGTAGGGTGGAGAGCGTGAGTATGATCTCCCTCTCTCCCTTTCTCGACTGTATCTTCTATCTTCAGGTGACACCGACCTGCAAAAGAATGGACAGACACTGCATCACACTGGAAAAAGAAATACCGCAGCTTGTTTCATCTCATGCACGCCTAGCCAAACAAACAAATACGTAAACTAGCTAGTGATAATTACTCCCTCCACTCCTTATTACAAGTACCTTCCTTATGATCCTTAGACCTTAATACTTTGCCTGAAGTATTAATTTTTTTTTTTAACCTAAATGTCCTTTGCCTGAATGTTCATTAACCAGCTGAACAACCTCCCAACAAACAAATCAACCTCCTCTAATTAATGAATTTCATTGAAGGTAATTTTAAAAGATCTAAAACATTAGCTAATTTTGACTGAATTCCTTAATCCATGTAAAGTCATTAATAGATCCTCATAATAAGCATAGGAGGGAGTAGCACATATGGCGCAAAGGCAGATAGAAGCAAAGAATAATTCATTATGCTGCAAAGGTTTCACTATTTCAAGGCAAACTTCCAATACATGCTACACCACTCAAAGCCATTCTAGTTAATCACAACAGAAATAACTAGATTATGAGTCCCACATTTTGCATACAGTCTAAAACCGCACTATTATTAATAGCTTATGAATAATGACTTCCTACAGATTATGTATATATATTGAGATCGATGATTATGAGTCCCACATTTTGCATATAGTCTAAAACCGCACTATTATTAATAGCTTATGAATTATGACTTCCTATAGATTATGTAGATATTGATATCGGTGATTATTTGTGCGTGTGAATATATATTGATATAGGATCTTGTGCTGCTGTTTCATGGATAAACTAAACCATCAAGGCATCAACTACTGCTTGACCTTGCAAGTCACCTGGTACTTTTATCATATGTTCTCACAGTTCCAGGTGACAAAAAATGTAAAATACATAACTTAGAACTAGACAGACAATAAATAATAGTTTCATTGTGCCAAGTGACAATACAAAAAATAGAGTACTACATTCACATGAATTAATTATAAGCAGCGTACCTTGAATACTCCCTTCGTTTAGGAGGGGGAGAATAATAATCACGACTTCGAGACCGAGATCTATGACGTGGCGGAGAACGAGAGTATCGAGGAGAGTGAGAATAACGAGGTGGAGACCTTCTTCGATCAGAAAATCGGCCCCTATGAAGCATAAACATTAAACAGACAATTACAATTTCATCAACCATTTTTGCTGCAACGAGTATAAACTTATAACTGCCTCCACAGATCCTAATCATAAAATTTAGCATCAAATATCCCCAGGTCATGAAACTAGAAACTTAGATGAGTGACCTAAAACAATAAGAATAGTGAAAGATAGAAGTTCATTTTAATAATCAAATAAAATGATCAGATCAATAAAAACACTGAATAAGTGGACCGATAAGTTCATTTAAAGCCATTGACAACCCCTCCGGCTCAGATGCAGGTGTAATCCTAACGCATTTGAAGTGCTGCTCCAATCACAAGGTTCCATGCTTCCAACTGAGTATTTCTTTATGCGGACTGCTGAAGTTTGTTGAGCCAGAATCAACTATGACGACATAATTACTGATTACCAATTTCTAAAATATGTAAGCATTAATTTTTATATTTATGCAAGTAATAAACCTAGTCACAAGGTTATTTTATTTACTCTTAAATTTAAAAATGAAAGTACTCCCATATGATTTAAGACCTCAAATCAAGCCTGAGCAACAATTCCAATTCAATTAAGGAAAAAACCCCTCATTTCATTTTTTTTTTCAAACAACCCAAATCCACATCCTTGCATATTCTTGGCGCCAAATCCAGAATGCAAGAATTGAAACAAAAAACTACTGCAACTCGCATGAGATAGTGAGATCAGTTTGAGAGCAATCCAACAGGACCAAATAGTTAAGCAGTTTACCAAAACAGATTAGTTCATGCATGTTTTTGTGCAAATACAGGGTGCTAATAACATGCATCTTGTGCTTTTCAAAATGAGCACTGTGTGTCAAGTCCATAATTGACAAGGTTGCCCGAAGCAAGGAAGACAAAACCTACCTTCTTTCTCTTGCTCTCATCTCAGTGGGCTTCTTTCTGTTTTCCTCAGCAAAAACAACAGTCAACTCTCGACCAAGAAGAATTTGACCATCCACATGATATTTTGCATCCGCAGCATCAGCAGGATCTACATATTGGACAAAACCAAAGCCTCGGGGTTCTCTGCAGAAAGGGATCAGGGGACAAACAAGGAAAGCCCAGAGAGAATCAAATGAGGAAGCAGGCTCAACAAATGCCAAATTGCAGTAAGAACTTTGCATACGGCAAACCTTTACTAACGCAACTCGTTAAAATAGTCCCCAATAGTATTGAAGGACATGATAATAAAGCAAGCACTAGGCTGCTGACCTTGTTTCAGTTCTAAGATCACTTGAAATTCCTCAAGACTTGGAACATCTTGACAATGTATTCAAACTCAACTTCCTTGAAATCTTCATTACCATAAACCTCTTCACAAGAACTCTAAATACTTGATTGATGCCTTCAAAACTCTAAATCACTGCTAAACCTCAACAACCTCAATAAACTTATACAACTTGAAATTATAAAAGCATAAGCTATCAAGGTAAAATCCCCAACATACAAACAGAGAAGTCAAGCAAAAAGCAAACACACACTGCCTGGACTGTTCACGCGGAAAAGTCTGGTAACATGTTTGAAAGCTTCATTAGAAATAATAATAGAAAATTAATAAATAATGACACTGAAGTTGAGAAGTTCAGACAAAATAATTTATTACCCTGTAAACAGATATAATATCAACAAAAATGTACTATACACTATGTAAATAATATAACATACATTTCCAGACAGACCAATTTGCAGAAAACGGCCAAGCAGGTACATTTTTGCAAAATAAAATTGAATATAGTAAAATATAAATTATAATTTGAAACAAGATAAAAAGAGGCCACATTGCACATTGTTTCTCCTGCACCCTGTAACATCCATATCCTACAACTGGTTTGTAATTGCTCACCCAGTATAATAATCTTTCGGTAGGTAAATGTCCTTAAGAGCACCAAATTGTCCAAAGAGTCTACGAAGATCCTCAGGCCTGAAAAGTTCACATTTAATGAGGAGTGTGAGATAATATATTGGAAGGGGGAGAATGATAACAGCAAAATTGAGTATTTCACTCGAAGAAACATGTTAACAAATAATATGGATGGGGCAAAATATCAAAACCATATATGACGAAAAATCCAGTTCAATTTGAGCAAAATATTCAAACAATGTGCTCAGGCATAAAACCAAAACGAATAGTCGAATGTAAAAGATAGGTTTTCAGGGAATATCTTCCAAGAATCGTGAGCGCTGAATGTGTAGTAAAATTTATTTCATTCCAACTCTTCACATATAGAAAACCAATATATTCCGCTCAGGATGAAATGTGAAAGCATTAAACTTCCAAAAAAAAAATGTTAAAGATGCAACCTTCGCTGCCTTTTCTATGTATGGGTTGCCGTATAAAGCACCAATGAGGTTAATGAGTAATTGAATTTTGCTTTTAAATGTAATGATTAGATTCCACTTAACCTCTTCTCGTGATCGTGATCTATAGAAATAACACGACGTTAGTAATAAACAAACAATCGTTCGCGATGGAAAAGGCACATGCCATAAATCCATTCCCAGTCTCGTCAGCCAAACCAAGAAGGAAAAAGTGAAGGCATAAGTAAATATGCTAGAGTGTATCGAACTGACCTACAGTCGTGGCGAAGGTTGCGAACTAGAAGACTGGTTGGGAGATCTCTGCCACGGCCACCATAACGACCTCTGGGGCTAGGACTTCTTCCTCTTCTGCCATAACCCCTGGGCGGTGACGGACTATAGCTCCTTCCTCTCATCTATTACCTAATCAGGAAAAGTTTATGATTAAAATGCGTCGACTAGTTACAGAGACAAATACCCGCAGTTCCCTCAAACCGCCATAAACGAGAGATTCCAATTGGGAGTGAAAACTGAGAAATCGGAAGTCGAGAAATCGTAATAAGGGACGTAGGGAAAGAAAGGGAAGAGAGATACCTTGGCAAGTGACAGCGGAGGACGAGATCGGATTCGGAACAGGCGGCGGAAGAGAGAGGGATGATATTTCAAAGTTGAAAAATGGGTTACCCTAAACAAACAAATTCTAATTCTAACATAGTTTTATGGGAGAATCAGTCTAAAGTTTTATGAAAACACTTTAAATACACTGAAGTCCTCTAAATTTAAGAAACAGCTGTCAAGTCCTTAGGGACTTAAGGGTAAATAAATCTGAAAGTGAAATTACCCATTTGCCCTCTATTTGAAATATGAAAAATCGGTCTGCTTCCCACTAACCCACGAAACTAAAGACGGATGTGTCTTCCTCATTCTGTCGTGCTCCAGAGTTAACGGTCGAGCACTATTCTTGCGGTCGCATTCCATCAGAGAAGACCGTCGCGCCGTTAGAGAGTGAAAAACTCGAAGGAGTAAAGAACGAGAGTTGCTCGCTCCTGCTTCAGCGACTCATATTTGCCCTAATCGCCATCATCGAACTGTCTCTGCCGTCCTCTGCCGCCATCTCGCCACCATAGGTTCAACTGCCATTCATTATGCATTTTCTTCTCCCATTATTCCTTTCTTTGTTCTTTTCTTTTTTTAGCTGGTATCTCAATTGTGACTTTAATTTTTTGCATCTCCGTTTTCGCACATAACTGTAATTCTCCGTCTCTGTTTTTTTACTCGTATGTCAGTTTTCTTCTCACTGTAATTCACCGTCTCTGTAATCCTCCTCAGCCTGCACCTGGCCATCCTCAGCAGAATCCCTACGTTTCTTCTTCTTCTCCTTCTTTACAGTTTCCACCTGATCTGATTCCTTGCCAGCATCAGCTTGTAGAGCAGCATCGTCGTCTCCACTTCTCTCTTTCTTCTTTTTCTTCTTTTCTTTCTTTTCTTCGGCAACAGGAAGCTCTTGCATTTCCTTATCCACAGACGCACCGTGAGGAGCTTGACGGAAGCCTCCAACTCCCTTCTTCCAATCTTTGTCATAGCTTTCTATCTTTGGCTTTCCTTTAGTTGAATCGGCAAGTCTACCTAGTTCATTGCCTTCAAGACTCCTGAGGCGTGCTTCAAGCTGTGTGAAAGTATATATAAGAAATGGTAGCAAGTGAAAACAAAAGTAGGAGAACTAACTAGAGAATAGCACAAGCACCTTGGCTCTGTTTTCCAATCCCATTGAATTATGTTGACCATGTCCAAGAACATCTTTCATAATCACCAATGCTGTCTTTGCAGTAAGTGACCGAGAAATTTTATCCTTAAAGTTTTGAGCAGGCTGACCAATTAATGATGCATAATAAATAAGCTCATATTTTGGGGTAGCATGCTTAGTCTTTAGGGCCCTAAAAAGAGCCTTTTTAGCACCAAGTATCTGTACAGTACTCCCTGGCAGCTTTGCAAGATTGAAGAAGCTGCCACCATGGGCAATAAGGCGAGCACCAACAAGCTTCCCAACAAGAGCGATCAAATTGGGTGCAATAGTGTTCATCCTGCTCTTAAGATAATCATATAGTTGTGCTCTGTACTCTGAAAGAGACAAAACCTGGTCACACAGTTCTCTAATGTTTATCAAGTCAAGCTTACCAAGTATATTTCTGATATGTTGCAAAAGTGTAGCTATGCATGAGATTTTTGTAATTGCTTAAGGCGCGTATTTGCATGTTTCAACTTTCAACTACTCCTCTTGCGTTTTATATTTTTATTGTGGTTAGTTTAACTTTCAATTCTGCTTAAAAATATGTAATTTTAAATATGGACGAATTTCTCCATTGATGACAATTGCTTTCTTTGTTGATAACAACCATATGCTGTATTAACCAAAATCATTTATTCCATGAATGACAACTAATTACTTCAATGACTACAACCATAAACTCCATTGACAACAACAGTATGCTCCATTGACTAGAGAACTGTCATAACTAGTGAACCGTCATACCTTTGTGACTTGTGTTTTTTTCTTACTGATAAACAATGCTAGTGCAGAAATCTGTGAGTTGGAACTTAGTAATGACTAGTATGCATATATCTCTTTTCAACACATGTAATTGAACTTTTCTATTTGTTTTCCAGATAAAGGAAGATGAAAGATAAAGCAAAGACAACAGTGAAGAGATATACCGTACCATTTCATACGCGCTACTCTCCTAGCCAATTTAGTGAAGTGGCAAAATATGTTAAGAAAGATGAGAAATTACAAAAAAGGGTTGAGAAGCTAAGATTTCATAGGCTTCTTGATATGTCTTGTAAAAAAATTCAAAGAGATATTTGTGGAGAGTTGATGCGTGCCTTTGACCCCCCAACTCGTGAAATATGCATAAGGGAGAAAATCAAGCAAATGAAGGCCAAGGATGTGAATGACTTGATGGGCTTATGTAGTGAGGGTAAGCAGATTACTGGGGATGTCAATGTGAATGATAGAGCTTTTAAGAATTTGAGAAATACTTACTATAAAATGCCTTACAAGGAAATAGCTGAAATGATTATATCTAGAAAGGAGGTAGCTAAATTTGAGTTACTTTTTGTAATGTATGCATTGGGAACCTTGTTATTGCCAACCGCAAGTCTTGAGGTTAGTGATCATATATTGAAGGTCGTTTATGAGACACAAAAGAAACCAAGCGCATATGATTGGGGTACGTTCATTTTTAATGAACTTTGCAAGGAGGTAGAAGACTACAAGAAATAGCTGAGCAAAGGGAAGGGAAGGACGAGGAAGAACGTTGGGGGATGTATCTACTTTTTAATGGTAAGTGTGTGTTCAATTTACATTAATCTAAAGTGATAGCCTTTCAAAGTTTTCTATGTAAAGGTTTTATATTTATACTGATTTGTCAAGTTTTTAGGTATGGGGCTTCTAGAATTTTCCAGTTGGCCAAGGTTGTCCAAAAGCCGTAGATGCTCTGAAATATTGGGATGATGATAAAGTGAATATAAGAATAAAGTTGGAGAAAAAGAGCAATCGAGGCATCTTGCATGAGCCAACTACTGTACATGGTAGTTCATCTACTAAGGTATATCAAGAATCGGCATTTATTCACTCGGTATGTATAAAATAGAGTACGATGGACAAATATATATGGTCTTATTTACGCACTGAGTTAGTAATTGTCTTGCAGGAAGTAAGGAGGCTGTATGGAAAAGTGCTGTCGTTTGTGTCTGACATTGGAGAGGAGTTAATGAGCTTACAATCAATGCTGCTTGGACAAGGCTCAAGAGAGGAAGAAGGTGAAAAATCACAAGAGGAAGAAGATGATGATAAAGGGATAGATTCTGAGGGAAAGAATGAAGATGAAAAAATAAAAGAGGAAGGACTTGTTGATAAGGGGACAGCTTCAGAGGAAAAAAATGAAGAAGAAAAATTAGAAGAGGAAGAATATAACGAAGAAGGGGCTGAACAATCAAAAGAGGAAGAGAATGAAGAAGAAAAATTAGAAGGTGAAGAAGATAAAGAAAAAGATGATGAACAGCAAGGTTCTCCTAAAGAAAAGGGCAACAATGACGATTCAAAAGAGGAAGAGCATAAGGAGGCAGGTGTAAGAGGGAAAGATTCTACCGAGGACGAGGAAGGGAGAGGAGAAGAACAATCAAGTAAACATCCTAGAAGATCAAAAAGATATAAAAGATCTGCTGTAAAATCTCCATGGGTTAGAACTAATGTTGGAAAGAAGAGAAAAATGGATGAGAAGGAGCAATTATTTTAAATATGCACAACACTATGTGAGGAAGATGAGGGAGACAAGTAAGTCCCTATACTGTGCCTAAAACTTGACTGACTAAAGTATTAGTGACAATCTATTTAATTTTTCCTTCTTCTTCAACAGGATCATTGTAGATTTGTATAATTACTACTTGACTCATGCAGAGCTACAATGTTTTGGTGGAAAGAGATGGATTAGTGACAAGGTGATGTCAATAGTTGCCCGAACTTTGGTAGGTGACCAAAAGGAAAATGAAGGGAAAGTCCGGAGACATATCTTTGGTTCTGAATTCATGGTAAAAATGATCAGCAACCCATTGAAATGGACGGTGGATGACAACAAGGGAGAAATATTTCTTGAGTTTGTTGGATATAACATTGCTGATTGTGATTTCATTTTTGGCCTAACTCTTTTCCATAGTCACTAGTTTTGCTATGTCTTTGAGACCAAGAGTAAGAACTTTTATGTGTTAGATTCATTGGTCAGTAACAGGGAGTATTTCCAAAGACAGCAGGAAGAGGAAGAAGAAGAGAATGTTGAGAAGAAGGGCAAGGGAAAGGAGAAGAAGAAGAAGAAGAAAGGACAACTGGATCCTAAAGAAATGATGGCAAGAGGATGCGCATGTCTCAACATTACCAACATCTATATTTGTCGTTGTCTTCTTGATTAGTTGTAAATTAACATTACTAACATTGCAAGTCTTGAGTTTGCAGAGGAATTGCTTTCACTCTCTACTTCGTGTAGTCAAACCTCAATTGTTTGAGGATGATGTTAGCACGGACATTATATGGGCTAAAGTTCATGTGCAAACTGATACGTGAGTTCCTTTTATGTTTATACATCATTAAGCTTATATTTACATGTGAAAAATTAATTTTACGTTGTGTTTTTTATTTTGTTTTTAGCCATACTTATGGGGTGCACGTTATAACATGGTTACAATCATGGGACAACACTGTGGATAAGAATGGGTATACGATGCCAAAATACTCTGACGTATGCATTCTTTGCTTTACATTTTCCCTCTTTCATGTACTACATATTTGTTGTTGTCCCTTATAAGATTTACTTGTGGTGTAGGATGACCTCTATAAGAAGAAGGTAAAACTCTTGTGGTGGCTATTGAGTCATCGTAACAATGTGAAGGAGCCCGAAGCCATGTCCTTGTTAGAAGGATCCTAAGCGACGAGGAAAAGGAAATAGAAGATTTTTTATAGAACCTTAGGATATAATTTTATTAATCATCATATCCCTTTGTATAGTTAGCTCATTTTGTGTAGTTAACTTAGATAACGCTGGTTATAAAAGCTGATTACAAGTTTGTAAATGTGGCAGATAGTCTATTTTATTAATTGCATGTCAATAAGTTGTTATCACTTTATTGACAAGTGTCTATAAGTACATTAATAAGTTAATAATTCACCGTTGAC